ACCGTGGACGCTTTACGGAGAAGGGCACGAGAAGCAAATAATTTAATGCGGACACTCGAAAAAAAAAAGTGAGGAGAGCGCGACTCGGTTTCTACGTTTTATTAGAGCCGTCATCTTTCTTATTCTTGGACGATGCTGCAGTTAACGATTTACGGTGACACACCGTCCAATCAAACACATAATTGAGCTCAATCTTGTTATGGCCAAACAAAGTACCCAAAACCCTTTTCAAATAGCCGTAGTCTGGGGTGTCCTCAAACTGGAGAGCACGGGTGTAGTTGAGGTACGTGGCAAACTCCATTGGGAATCCCTTACAGAGTGCCATTACGGATGTGGACTGCTTCTTCAGAGAGATGAGTGCGGACTTTTCTTGCGACCCACTCACCTGAAGGCCCTGCCACGGCAGTGAGCCCCGCAGGAAGTACAACAAGATGTACCCGATCCCCTCGAGGTCGTCACGGCGGCTCTGCTCGCCACCCATGTGCGTATTGATGGAGCAGAAGTCCTCCGCCCCCGTCAGGTACTTGCTCACCTTGTATATGATGTGTTGGTGTGCAGGGGCCTCACGGTACTGCTTGGCGAGACCGAAGTCAATGATATAGACATGGTGCGACCTCTTACCAGTACCCATCAGAAAGTTGTCAGGCTTGATATCGCGATGGATGACGCCCTTATTGTGGACAAACTCAATGCGCGAAATCATCTGCACCGCCAGCATCAGCGTTGTCTTGAGCGTAAACCTCCGACCACAGAAACTGAAGAGGTCCTCCAATGAGGGCCCCAGAAGGTCAATCACCATCACATTGAACTCACCCTCAACGCCGTGGTACAGAACGTTAGGGATACCCACAACACCGCCACCGGCATTGAGGATGCGGTAAAAACGGGCCTCGAAAGCCAGCTGCGGGTGACGCGTCTTCACGGGCTCCAGCTTGATGGCCACGGGATCGCCTGTTTGTATGTTCGTGCCACGGAAGATTTCACCAAACGAGCCGGAGCCAATCTTCTGGCCGATACGGAACCGGTTGCCTACACGAAGTTCTACACTCATTGCGAGCAGTGTGTTGTGTCCGTGCGGGTTGTGCTTTTCGCCCCTTTCCTGTTGTGCTGCACACGCGGCGTGTTCTCTCAAGCTTTAGGCTTGTGGCTGCCCACCAATCACAAACGAAAGGGAATGACCAGAAGCAGTGTGTGAGAGAAAGACACCCAAACAGAACGAACCACAGCTGTCCCCCGCACAGGATAGAGAGAGGTGAGGGGGAGAGAGAGATCCGAACGGTTCTTTGCCAGCACAGTGTTCGACCCAGGCAGCAGTTACCCTCCACCCCCAAAGCTCACCAGCAGCCAAGCTTCTTGCTGTTGGGGGTGACCGCGTGTGGTTACCGCTGCAACAAAGGGAGGTCTCCACGCTGTACCTATGAAGCGGGGGCCAACGACGGCGTCACAGAACGCCAAAGGGCGTAAAATGAAAAAAAAAGCAAAGAATATTAAAACAGCCTAAATTGGGTTAGATGGCAGCCTGGTGTCGTAGGCTTGGGCTTCTCTCCTACACCCAGAGACAGCACAACATGCTAAATTAAAAGAGAACAGAGATGCAACAAAATAAGACCTCGTAACAACCACTCCTGGCAGAACTCACAACAAACAATTGACACAAATCGAGTTTTACACATCATCCAAAGCATTTTTCTCCCTTTGATGAGCGGTAAACTCCTCCTTCAGACTAGATTCTTCTTTCCTTAGTGTCCAATCAAACACATAATCCAGCAAATACTCCTGAGATACAAACAGTTGTCGGAAGTTCCGCTTCAAATAACTGTAGTCCGGTTTGTCCTCAAAGTGCAGACCACGGGTGTAGTTGAGGTACGCGGCGAACTCCATTGGGAATCCCTTACAGAGTGTCTCTACGGATGTTGTCTGCTTCTTCTCAGAGATGCGTGCGTACTTTTCTTGCTTCGTGTGCGCCTTGAGGCCCTGCCACGGCAGTGAGCCGCGCAGGAAGTACAACAAGATGTACCCGATCCCCTCGAGGTCGTCGCGGCGGCTCTGCTCGATGCCGATGTGCGTATTGATGGA